GGGGGTGAATGTGAGCGTGGGTGTTCTCTTTCACCACACCCACCCACACCCAACTTTGATCATAATCGTACAAATACTTTTATAAGTGTATATAGTGCTAACATAAGTGGAGAACAGGATGATTTTCTTATAGTTATACATTAACGAAATAGCATATCTCTATTTAGAAAGTAAGAACAGATTCAAGATAGATATTTCATGTTAATCAATCAAAGATCTGTTAACAAGATTTAACTGTAAATGTAATGTTTTATCTCACGAAAGAATCAGGAGTTTTTGAATAAAATGTAAGCTTCGTAACTGAAAAATATTCTTAAATGTAAAAAGAAAAAGATAAGAAAAAAAATATATTGTTTTCAGACAGATTAAAAGTTGCTTCGCATAGTTTTAATAGAAAAATACAGTTGCTCAAAATAATATGTCAGTTTCGCTTGAACTTTAGACATGGTGTAAAGAAAAAGATAATCACTTAACACTCATCAAAAAAATTTTTCGAGATCTTATTTACAAGTTTCAAACTATCGTGGAAATATTCTTATTTCTTGATCTCCGAAAACAACTAAACTTGTTCACGAATTCAATTAGACTGTTGAATTTACTACGAAATATATCGCTAGTTGCTTGGTTTATGACAGGTTTTGATTATGCAATAGATAGCTAAAAAGAATGAAGAATACATTTGATTCTCTAATCAAAATTAGTGAATCAACAATGATTTTAGCTGAATAAGCACTAATTCATAAATTTCTTGTATCATTGAAACAAAATGTTATTTCAAATGTCAAGAATACGATTAATGCTTATTGTAAAAACATTCATACTAAATTACATGTATGAGCCAGATATTTTCAACAAGATTTGATTAATCAGTGTAGCTCTAACTCATACAAGTCGAGCTTCCTATCCACTTAAACATTTTTAAACACGAAAAAGTATATATCAAAATATTTTATCAATCAGGACGAAATAAACCTATAAAAATGTTCTCAAAAACCGTGAAACTATGTTTACAAATACGTTTCTTAAATCTTACTCTTTTACATGATAATTCATCTGTTAAAGTAAACAGAAA